ATTGCAGATGTCCTCGGGTGTGCTGGCCGTCTTGTCATTATACAGTAGAGATGTACATTTTACATTAGTCCTCCTCTGTTTCCTGACAGTTCTATAAAATTCACCAATGTCCACTTCACAGGCAGAGTTCGGGTCTGTATACTTGTGTCTGTCCCATTGCCGTTCGGCTTTTCTTTTCTGTCGACGGAAGTTGCATGTAACTGCTTTATACTGTTTATAAGAGCCATGTGCATCTCCTCTAGGTTTACCTTGAGATATCCATTGTCGTCTGGCATGACGCATCTGGTAGTGGTAGTAGTCTAGACTAGATCTTCTCCAATAGGGTCGAAGGTATGATCTTTAGTATCCTGTTGGGATGTACATTGCTGTTGACGTGTGGAGAGAGCTCACTATAGCATCAAAACAATATTCCACCATATCACTGTCAGCATGTGTCATGCCTGGAAGGGTGTCACCAAGTATTTTGTTAACTTCAGATGAGTACATCTTCAGTTCAAGGCCATTCGCCTTCTGCCATTTGTAAGTTGAGGGAGTCCATAGCTTTTGCTCTGTTATGAACGCATCAATTAAGGAATGATACCACTACTGGTGAATGATCCGATATCTCGAAAACGATGTTGTTATTGACAGGGGTCGTCAGCACAGATGATTGAAGAGCATCTGGCAAGAATATATTATCAATCAGAGATGACTGTGTTCCAGCCTTGTTGCACCATGTCTTGAGATGACCTTGAATGACACCACAGTTGTATGATGGTATCATGTTTCCTGTATTCAAGTATGACTGCAGTACAGTGGAGCGAGGGGGTGCTGGGTAATTTACAAGATCTGTATCAAATCTCCACAAAGAACAACATAACTGCTTTCTGATAGCTCATCAACCACGTCGGACACTTCCTTGACACTCTCCTCATACACTGCTGTGTTGTGATTAGTGGAGGGGAGCAGAGCACACACTACATACATATCAGCACACTGGGGACGGGAGAGTCTCACAGCTACAACACTATCATACTCACATTCACAGATATCAGTGTACCTGTATATACTTTTCTTAACTAAAATTGCCACACCTACTTCCCCTCTACATCCTCTCTGGTTAGCCTTAACCTTAGCCGCGACGTCAAACTTATTGTCAACGCGCACGTTGACGGGGAATTAGCTCTTGGGGGAATAAAGGACAAAATCGACATCACTGTCCCAGAACGCTTTATGCACAACATGTAAACAATAAACAACAATTGCACAATGAGCGGAATACCTGCTCTGACAACACTAACACATCGATGAGCGGACCTTCCAGCTCAGGCGTACAAGAGGTGATGCTCCAGCTCACCTCAGGGCGTTTCCTACGAGCGGCACATCCTGCTCGGGGTCGTCCCTACGCCAGCACTCGGAATACCAAGCTTGACTAACACCATGTTATGGTAACACATATATATGAATGAACAACAATGGACAGACAAAGAGACAATTACGTTGCTTTGGACAGAGGACATATGGGCGTGATTAACCACACAGTTCAGGGGATGATCAATTAAGGCAATAAATGCCATACTATAAAAAGCAGTAGTTAAAGGGAAGTGATATGGTAGTCTAGGCTGACTGACAGTCAAAATACAATGAATTGTCGGTGAGGATTAACAACGGGGATTAGCGCCTAAAACTTAATGACAATTAAGTTATGGAGACATGGCTACAGGGTAATTTGCCTTTGGAGTCAAATGTACTTCAGACAATGGTAGTCGTAAATCAGTCGCTATGACATTATCATTAAGACAGTCAAACCAGCTCTGCGTTCTATCGTTCAGCCAGTGTTCACACACTGCAAGGGCATCACAGTCACTCGCTAGTTTCTCTAAGTACTGGCGACAATACAGTACACCTCTTACATTCCATGTTCCTATACTTAGCATGGTAATGAGTATTAGGCAAGTATTCAATGCTATCATATTAGATGAGTTAGAGTGCGCCATTGCTGTTTCTGTGACTGTGGTATCCAGTCCCGCCATCTTACATTTTGCGGCCAGAAATTTTCATTTTCAGTAACTTGCTTTGCTGTCCTACTGTCAATGTTCACTCTTATTGTGTAGGTTGGATTGTAGCCTTCCCAGTGTCTCAACAAACGAACGTAACTCACATGGACGCCACGTTGTTTAGCATATTCACATATGGCATCTTGCACTGTTTGTAGTGGTTTATCCGCTCTTACATACGATAGCACAAACCTTTTTGTTTTAAATTTGGTGAAACACCTCCAAAAGCTCTGGACCATTCACTGTCGAATCTCACAGATCTCTGAGCATGGTCTTCGTGTTGTTTATGGCTGACGTCATCATATCCAACATCCCTGATATGGTCATCGCTGACTCTGTCATGTTGAGTAGGACTTGTACATATGGTGTCACTGTCGCCGCCCTCGTCGTTCTCGGAGTTGTCCCCAATAGTATTCCTCTCGTGGTTAATAGTAATGTCCACAACACTTGGAGTTTTAGTGTTGTTGGTCTCTGCTGTTCTGGTCAGAACACTGTCAGCCTCATTGCCTGGTTGTGCACAGGAGCTCACAGTTCTGAGCAGCTGGGGGATTTTAACTGCCACAGAGTACATAAGCTTGTTGCGAGTGTTTACTGTGTCTATTTTGCCGTCTATGGCATTTGTATTTCGTGTTAAGTTACTGATATTGTCTTTCAGATCACTTTCAAGGTGGTGTATCCGTGAATCTCTATCGCTTAGTTGAGAGACTAGTATCCGCACGTCTCCACGTAGCTTGAGCTCTAGGTTCTTAGACAATTCTATCTCCCTTGGCGCTGTTATTAGATCGCTGTTCTTCTCTTCGATGGTCCGCTTCATATTCCTGAGTTCAGTGTCGAATTTTTTATGTAATTCTTCAATTCTTCTGTCCATGCTGGCATTATGTTCGCTCTCAGAATCCCGCATTTCCATCATCTTGGCATAGATTGGGGTCAAAAGATCATTACCTCTTTGTGTATCCAGCAAACTATCTCCAGGTACGTTGGTGGGACGTGCGTTTGATTTGCCTTTGCTGAGTACTTGTTTTTTCCAGTATATAAGAGGGGATTGTGTGTGTAATAAAACCATAGAGGCAATATACATCAGACACATATTTCTCAATCACAGACTTCCTGGAATGTTCTCTTTGTACACGTTTTGGTAGATATCCATTTGGGGTATTGTGTCGAGTAGCCTTGGCTACGTCATAAAGACTTTGTCTCACTTCGTTTAGTTTTTCTTCATCATCATTGTATATGTCCAAAAGTTCACTTTCAAAAGAAATTCTATCTAGTTGTCCAAGGCGTCTGTGTATTTCATTGAAAATGCCTTTGTCTATATCATCCACACTTTGTGTAGCTTATCGAAGGTCATCTTCCTCGCTGACAGAGCTACTCAATGCTTCACTGACTCTGCTTTGGCTGCCCATTGTTTGTTGATTAATCGGACGCTCAGTCAATCAGCACTAGTCCACTTGTGTAAATTCTCCTTCACATTTCTAAACATTTTGGATACTTGATTTTCAGCAAAACCTAAAACCATCTTCATGATTCACTAACATGAGTCCATTGTCGGTATCTTCAAAATCACCTTACCTGATTTTTGAGTCACAATATATGATAATGATACAGGTATAAGATGATTTTGGTGGAGAAGACCTTTCAGCGACTTGCTGTTCTGACGCATGCGCACTCACCGAAGTGGTAAACGTCTGAGACCTGCATCATTTCGGGCTTTCCTCCCACTTTTAGCTGACACGCCGTGATATACTGGAATACTGATATAGTATACGCAAATTATACTGGCACTTTAAAGTGATTTTTGGTATACCGACAACGACTGATTACTCTTGACGAGGTCATTGGACCCGAGGACCCGACCCCTTCGTCAAGAGTAAGTATTTGTATAATGTTCTGGGGCTATGTCTTCAGCCTCTGCTTCAAAACATACAATGTGTTTCTGTGAAATGAAGAGCCGAACAATGAAGGTTTTTCACATTAGAGTATCTTCAAGAAACACAGCCCGCTCCAGGCAATTGGCTTTTGGGGAAAACCTGAGGTCAAATTGATATCTTCCATTTTTTTCTGGAACAAATTATTAGTTCAAAAACAACTCAAGGCCCCTCCCAGAACATAAAGACGGTGGGTGCCTTGGTGTCAGCAGAGGTATTTCGTACAGAAGCTTGCATTGTTATGTGTAAGTTGGAAAAACGGATAATAGCAATGGAACTATGAAAATGTATTTATTGACAAACTCTTACAGTACATATCACCGACTTTACAACCTAAACTTAATTATATGTCAAACCTATAATCCCCAAATCACTATATCAGGGACACGATGCTGTACAGTTATATCAACTCTTTTGCCGACTTCAAATAAACGAAATGCGTCCAATAATCTACTGCTATATGATGGACATATATGGAGGTTCAAATATTCGTGTGGTGGAATATGTAGGAGATGGACTCACTGTGCTTTCGATGTAGAGCTAGGTTACTTGTAGATTTAACCGCAGTAAACTGAATTTGGAACGGAACACTCATCTTTCCGAAATATGCCTACCGCCAATGACTTAAAACAGTACTATTCTATTAACATTAGCTAATCAAATCGGCTGTTTCAATCAGAGGGGCTTTATTGTGATATGACAACCTCAGATTGACAAATCAAAATCGAATAATTTCCAAATTCATAATAGATTAAGAGATAAACGTACATGCTCCTCACAGCGATGTAAGGTGTCACGCGCTGGGAAGGAGCTCTATAAACATTAACGTACTGTGTTTTAATCCACGCAGCACATACATATTATCGCTCATTGTGACGCAAATGATGTGGCGTCACAGTCGGATATAGAAAGGTGCCTAATTTAAGCTCACTGTTGTCCTTAAAACCGGAAATACAATCACTCAGTCCGGTTTCCATTGTGTTTTCCTTCCCATATCTATTGCCACTCGTGCTATGAATGGCGGATCCTCTGCACTTGGTAACGTAGATTTATACAATATAATGTACAAAAAAATGTCTAACAATGCTTGAGAAAAAAGTACTTCTATAAATATCAGTCTCCATGGTGATGTGGACGCCAAATCAGCTGTTTAAATCAGCTGTTGGTTATTGTAAGTCGAAACTACTGAGTTGAGTATTTTCCATAATCATTGTAGAATATCCATCATAGAATTCAGGGAATCAAACACATACCGCATTTCCTCTATTAGAGGCCGGGCCTCTAATAGACGCCGGGTCAATTGTTCAGTGCAAAAAATAGAAACCGGGCCTCTAATAGACGCCGGGTCGATCAATTGATACAATTAATGATCCCTTTTTGGGACCTAAATTACATAATGAGGACTCCCTTAGACGTATTAATAGAAGCCGGGCCTCTAATTGACGCCGGGTCAAAGGCTTGTCCGAAGTAAATAGAAGCCCGGGCGTCTAATAGAGGAAATACGGTAAGTAAAATAGTAGCACCCTTCATTGGTAGTGACTGGAGAGTGTATACAACAGTGGCCGCCAAGTGAGCTGTTTAATCAGAGTTGGTTTTTGTGGTTCTAAACGACTCAGTTGAGTATTTTCCAAATTCATAGTAGAATATCCATCATAGAATTCAGGGAATCAAACACATAAGTAAAGCACCAGCCCCCTTCATGGGTATTGACTGGAGAGTGTATACAACAGTGTTGTTTGTCACATCCACTGCACCTACAATAGGAGAATTCCAGCCACTGAAGTAGATGGTGCCTCTATACAGTCTCATGTTCCAGGGGGTGGCGCTCAGTGTGGTCACCTCTGTACTCACATTAGTGGACACTGTCATCTTTATCAGTTTCCTCTCAATGTTATAATACAACACACCAGCTGTCTGATCTAGGGTTACAGCATACATGTAACTTCCTGTGGCTAATGTTGCCAGACCTTGACCATCATATGTCACTGTGAACAGTTTCCCGCGATTACACCCATAGATCCTCTTTCTCCTTGTGTCAAGAGTTATTTGATATGGATAGTTTCCGTACTTGGATAAGTCAATGATGGTTGTAAAGTCTTTCCCCTGTGTAGACATGCGGTTGATTGAGTATCCTGGTTGATGCGTGGCTATGAATACAATGTCTCGATCTTCATCCACTGCCATGCAATATGTCCGTACACCTTCTCTTAGCACCGTCACGTGACTTGTATCCAGTGTAGATGACACTATTTTATCAGGGATCCGTAATCCTATCAGAAGTTTCTTTGTCTTAGCTATGTATGCAACACATGTCACCTGCTTCATGGTGTGAGACTGATAGACACTAAGTGAGTTTCTGTGAATGTTGAGTTGACGGAACTGGTGCTGGGTGCCTGACAAGCGTGGAGCAATCAGGATCCTACTTTTCTTCTCCTCTGGCCTGGGTGTCGTCACTGACGTGGTTGACACTGGTGATTTGGGGATTGAGGTAACGTTTACAGGGGCGGGGGTTGAAGCAGGCACAGCAAGAGCTGTTTTCAGTTGTGATATTTGGGATTGGCATGTCTCGTTCAATACGATGAATCGTTCAATATTTTTCTGTAGATCAGCAGCACAAATATCCCTCATCCGTAGTTCTATTTCCAGTCTGTGTTTATCTCTGACACAGGTATCACTTGAGTTTTCTCGATTCCACACATCTGCTTTCTTCAGCACAGATTCATGAAATTCACCCGTCTCGTCCTGGAAGTCTTTGAGGGATCTTGAGACATGAAGCAACTGTCTCTTCATCTGATGGTAGCCCTGTTTCAGATGCCGCACTTCAGAGACGACCTGACTTTTCACCATGTCCTGAAGAGACTCTCCTTGTAGAATCTCGGCCATGGCTTCTCTCACCTGATCCCGTATGTTTTCCTTCAATTCAGCTCTCAATGATGTCTTAGCGACGTCTATGATATTTCGTATCCTTTTCTCCATACGGATCATATCATCCTTGTTATCAAGCAATTCCTCGTCAAACTGATCTAGTCTCTGTATGACAGACACAATACTGTCCTGGCAGTTACAAACACAGATCAGGTAGGTACATGACAGCAACCAGGAAAGACATTTAAACTCGGCCATTCTCAGAATTTACAATATCCCCTGAGATGTCCTTAGCGTGATGTGTGCGTGTACCTCTTAGTACGACACGACGTTTTCTGCTACTGGCAGGCTGGCGTGAGGTACAAGTACATGTATACACATATTGGGTTATCGTTATGCAGTCAGTGTCACCGTGTCCCGGGTGCAAAGAACACTAGGTTATCATAACTTACCTGATGTGGCATACAGTCCTATCATTGGTGATCTAAGTACGTAGCAGCATATACTTAACCACTGCACTTTCCATGTACTGTTTTCACGTATATTAGATGTAAAAAGTGGTCGCCCTTATTAAAATAACGCATGGTTTAGATCATCACAGCAAACCATGGTAACGACGTCTGCTCCCCATTGTGATGCAAAAGATGACTGCACATTCTGTCTTGCCCCTAAAATTTAAAGTCTGCATCTTAATCACCTTTTCTAATCAAAATATATTTCCAAATATAATTTGATTTTTTTAGTTCTCAATTCTCCATTGCTTTCGTTTTCTCACTTCTCATGATCACTTTGTACGAGTAACGAATAATTTTTGGCCTAAGGGAGAACTTTTATCTATGACCTGACCTTCAACTAAATGCCCCCAGTATCACATGCTTGTCGAGGGATCTAACTGATAATAAACACGCGCTCGTCCCTGTGACCTACACCAAAGGGCAAGTTTACTCTCAAAGTCATACTCGCACCAAGTGATTGTTCACGTGCTAATCTCAAGAAGAAATATTTCCTGTTTGTACATACGACGTAAAGACAGTCAGATAAACAAACAGACAAACTCACAGGCATGTTTATTCGTTGTAGGGCACAAGAACCAAAAGTACAAATACAATGCAATAACTTTAGCTTCCAGTTCTGAACAGTAAACATACATTTATGAATTTATTTACATAAAAGTTTTTACAAGGGACATAACTCAACACAACTGCAGTGTTACACCTTGAATACATGGTTTTAGTAAATAGCAACAGCTGTGATTGTACTTTGCTGCTATGACTGTAAAATACTTACAAGGTCTTATTTACATTATAGGGGGCACGGGTGGCCCAGTCGCCTAAGGCGCCAGAAACCTATAATTGTGGGTTCGATTCCCGGTTCGCCCCGATTATGTTTCTAGGTTTGTCAGCACCAGAGCCGGCATAAATCGTACTACTTTGGAACTTCATTGTCACAACGCCAATTCTGAATCTGAATTCTACTTGTGGATAGTATCAAGAGACATATTCATTCCATGTACACTGGTACTCACAACAGTAGTGTCATCAGCAAGTATTACCGTCGGGATGTGCTCCTTACCAACAATTAGTCCACATTGTAGATTATCAAGCTGAGATATCAGGGCATTAATATAGACTAGAAACATCCATGCTGAGAGCACGCGACCTTTTCCTACTCCTTGTTGAACATTGAACAAATCACTTGTCCTCTCATTGTATTTAACCCAAGCACTTGCTTCTTGATAAGATTGACGGATAATGTGCCATGCACGGCCTTTCACACCAAGATTGTATAGTTTCAGTAGCAGCCCCTCATGCCATATCCTGTCGAAGGGGCTTTTCGTTATCCAGAAAGGCAACATACACTACTGCCTAAAAGTTCATTCCCCTAACACGCGTTGAGAACGCGTGTAACACGCATGTGACACGGGTGCTCAACGGGTTGCACACGGGGTGAGCACCCGTTGGACACGGGTGTGCAACGGGTGTGAATCGCGTGTGCAACCCGTTGCACACGCGTGTGCCACGCGTGTAACACGGGACCGGGTTCCAGTTGAAGTTGACAAATTTATCAAATGAATAGTGAGATAAAACAAAACAGTGAGATGTGAAATTTGAGTTAATGAGCGGCCATTGAGCTGTGTTCACCAGACCGTAAATACAAGGTCGGCCCATCTTAATTAGTGTTCGGTTGCTAGACTTTTATGGCATGAACCATTCCACTAGGGTCCAGTCTAGCCATTGTGGCTAGCCGACAGTAGAACAGTAGTGAATTTAGATGCGAGTTTATTGCTAAGGGAACCCCCGTGTTTGTCGCGGGTTGGTAAATGTTCGCCATTAATAAAATAATTGTTTGTGGATTGCGAACATATTCATTTGCCCACACGAGTCATTCCATTTGATTCCATTTGATTGCAAATATAACGTTTTTCGTTCGCCAAATTTATGCTTTAGACAGTTCAATTATGACATAGCCGTCACCACTACTAATGTCTCATTATTTCACGTAGGAATATGTCCCATTTCCCCACACCCCACTTTCTGTGTTGTATTTTGAAAAATAAATAAAAGAAGGTTTTGTGTGGGACACTTATATACTAATTATAAGAGGATGTTGTAAATGAATATGAACAGCCATGCTGTCTGACAGTTGATAAAATTTGAGATCTTCACAATCACCGGGTGTGACCATGTAGACAGAATCTCGTTAGGGTTTGTGATTTTTACATTTGCCCAATGACCATAGTGAGTATTGCTGGGGATACCAAACGTAACAGTTTATTATTAGAGGTTGTGAGTACCTATACCACGTAGATAGGATATCTTTAGGATTTTAATCCTTCTTTGAGAGGCATTTAGAAGTTGGAGTACTTCGTTAGGATAAGATTTATGGGTGACTTTAATCCTTTCTTTCTCTGTGGGTAATCCTTTCACGTTGATTTGAGGAAGTCACTCAACCAGGTCATGACAGGTCGTGAGTTTACTTACTAACTACTGTGAGCGTTTTGGCATGACATCTTTTCTTGTATAAACATAGAAACGATGCTCACTCACTCACTGTTAATCTTCTGCAGTTTGCTGGCAAAAGGGGAATAAACCTCAGTGTCAAAGACGATCAAACTTAGTTCGAATCCTTGTTTATATGTGACATCTCCCAAATGGGGACATTTTCATAAACTTGGCAAGTGATGATGAATTTTAATATTAATATTATTATAGTTTATGAAATTGTTAATAAAACTTTAATAAAATTGTGCTTCACTCTCACGAAAAATATATTGTCTGTGAGTAAATTTATTTGTCACGTTACATCGGCATTTTTCAGTGATATTGGGACAACATGAAACATGGCTGGTTTTACATTTCTGATACAGGTGCTTGACTGACTGAGTAGTTCATGATCAATAAGATATGTTTAAATCAGTCAAGTTTGCAACAATAGATGAATAAGTTGATACATTTGGACCGCAGTTACCGATTAACAACTTAAGACATAGAGACAGGGAGGAGATATATAACCAAACCTATGATCCTGTTGAGACAGTTGACAGTTAGAACGTTGGATTAAATGACAGTAACTAATTTGAACATTCCCCAGTTATATCATAAAATACATCATAACTCATAACAGTCTGAGAGACAGCTTCCAGACATATACTAGTATTGAAGGGACAATCGCTTTTGACAGTTTAAAAATAAACTCACCTTAAGGTGCTTGGCAAGTCAAAACTGACCTCCCTGAATATGTTTTTTAGGTTTGACAGCAACTATGCTTGTGGATTTCAGAGATAGACATGATTGGTTAGCTAGATGTTATTACAATAAGCGAAAATGTCTTAAAAGTCCACAGTTGGTTTAATAGTACAAAAAGTGTGTTATAGATCTATCAACGTTTTCTTTTATTGAACATAATATTTGCACTATATTGCTGTAAGCTGTAAATAATCTAGCCTCCCCATGTACGTAACTTACATATATTTATGTATGGCCAGAACAGCAAATAGAGTTCTGGTAGATAGGTACCTCGGAGATTTAACGTGCGCTTTCCGACTTAAGCCTATCTCGCTCACGGGGAAGCACTTGTACTATTAGGGTAAAAAAGCGTAATGATTAAATAAAGAAGTGTTAGTTAATTGTGGATGCACTGGGCAGACGGAATTGTGTTTATTTCCAGGCCATCCTGATCGTCGTTTACTACTATAAGGTGTATGGTTGGAGGCAAGATCAAAGGCGCCGCACAGCATTTATTAGATAACAGACGGGGTCGTCCGTTTCGCTTTGAACAACCACCCCACCTGTCTGTAGGAGTTATATAATCTGTGCGCAAATAATTTTGTCAAGTCCACTGCCGGGCTGATGCGGTGTCAGTGTCAGCGATGAACATGAATGCTCAAATTATAGACTTGTAGCACTCACAAGTTGCTTAGCCAAAATATTTGAAAAGTGTATATTCAATTCTCTGATAACAGCAAATATAACCTTAGAAAAAGATTCAACATACAAACAATCAAATGTAGAACACAGTCCTATGCTTATTATCATTTCTTCTGGATATGATCAACCTGCGGAACCCTCTATCTGATGAAGTAACTAATGCTCGCTCATTAAAAGAAATCAAATCCTTAATTAATCGTTCTGATGCAATTATTAATAATTTTGACTTCAAATATTTTCATAGATCATGCCAAATTGTCCACTGTCGCCTTAGGCTCGGCTGCAGTGACTTAAACGCTGATAAGTTTAGACGACATGTATCAGATATACCAGACTGCACTTGTGGATATCACCTTGAAGATGCAATTCACTTTTTCTATAACTGTTAAAAAATACGATAATATCAGAAACACTGTGTATTTCTACACACATGGGTATGGTCTAAAAATGATATTACATGGCAGTAGTTAAGCACTTCTACAAACATGACTCTTCTTAAATCAGTTCATGACATCATTGTCAAAAGCAAAAGGTTTGAGTAGCTTAATTTTATGCATGTAGTAAAGGAAAACTGCATTACCTTATTTCACAGACACCATTGGCTTCGTGTATTTCATTTGTGCATTTTGTATGTTTATGTTCATCACTCTCTTATATATATCCAGCTGTTGTTAAGTTGTTACCTGGAGAGGTATTACATAAGCAAGTTTTGCTTGTTTACCGATCCAGATTTCTTTTGAAATAAAAATACGTTTAAGCCAACACAGCTAACCATAAAACACATGATTGTAAACTATTCAAAAAGGGGCACTAATCTCTGGCTTCTTCTCGGGTGTCGGACTCAAACTCATTTATTCTT